TTTATTGGCAGTTTCAATTATTTTTTTATTACAGACTCTGTCTCGTAAGATTTCCTGGAGAAATGTTCTGTCGTTCTGAAGAAATGCTTTTTGATTCTGATAAAACTAAATGCATTGAAGATGTTTTATTAGCGGCACTGCTGGCTGAAACATTTCTCATCTGTCCAGACAATAATAATGTCTTTAAATGTCACCTCAAAAACACATTTGGCTGTTTTCCTGAGCCAACTGTACAAGTCATTCACTGACCATGATGACATTTAACAACACAATGCACGTTTGACAAATAGTTTAAAGCTATTTCTTAATAGTGCAGCAATTGTATCATGAACCCTTCATGTAGACATTTCCTTTTTGACTTTGCTTGCCTGCCTGTAAAAGGCCGGGCATATTTGTAAAACGAAAAAAAAATCAAACTGAATATTTAGTCTTATGAGTTTGTTTTTTCAGTTATAATTCAGCAATATTTCAAATCTTTTGAATTGATGTTTCTTTATGTGTTTTATGTTTTTAATTCCTCACAATATACAGTATTCTCACAATTGTTTTCCTGAATTTCATCCCTTTGTCTTATTCCAGTGAGACAGGATGAAAAAGTTCACAATGAACACYATCGAGTTCTGTGACAGACAGCTGGTTGCACTCGCTCCCAAAAGACACAGACAAAAAGAGAGCTACCAAACCAAGAGACGGAGGAGGAGAGACAAGAAGTTTTGTGGTCAGAAGTGACAAGTCGTGTGCCTCTGGGAAATCTGAGCTGTCACTAACACACTAAGAGAAGAAGAAGACAGTGCTGTGTGTGTGTTGTGTGGTTGGGACTGAGGGAGATGAGGTCAGTGGAAGCGATGGATAATTTGAGCAGTTGCCGTCGGACGGGGAGCCCGCCTCTCTTCGCCCACAAACCACCTGTTACTGTGTTATCGCTGCAGTTTGTGTGTGTGACTCTGTGAGTGTGTGGGGGTTGTAAATGGGTCAGAGTGAGTACGTGTGACCGGTCTGCTGTGTTTGGATACTTCCCTGAACATTTGCTGGAGGGAACCGTCTGTCTCGTATCATTGTAACCTCAAWAAGTCTCCAACAAATCCATAATTTCTATCATCTTGGACACATTGGAAAAAGAAAATGGTAATCTTAAGGGATTTGAAACCTCATATCCCGCTCCTGTACAATATTTGTTGTCATTTGAGCTAAACTGAACTCAATAATGATTATTACTCCTCTCTTTTCTCCACATCTATTGTCAATTAGTGATTAAAAACTGTCATCAGCTCCCTTCCCCTCAGATTTCACGTCTGTGGCCTGACAATTTTCCTCCGTTTCAAGTTCATTTGYGGTGAGAAATAGTCCTCTGCATTTCCCCCCCTCCTGTGCTTCTCTTTGTATCTCTCACAGCATCAGCTTCAGTGAAACTCCCCCAGCGGGGTGTGGGGTGTAATCAGTGTAATCAGTGTAATCAGCTTCTCCGGGGACCGTAAAGCCTGCATTGCGGGACCTCCATAGGCTCCACACAGCTGGAGTTTGTCTTTGCCTGTTCTGGCTGATAGGCCGAATAAAAAGAGTCGAGAAACTTCAAGAAAAGCCCCGTTTGTCCTCTGAGGCACAGGCTATTTGTCTCATCAGTCTTTCTTCTTTTTCTTCGTCTGTGAACAAATCAATTCACTGATATTTATGTGTGTTTCAGTAAGCTGCCCAGCTGGGCCCGAGCCGTGGTCCCTAAAATATTCTACGTCACAGAAAAGGCTTGGAACTATTACCCATACACCATCACAGGTAAAGCTTTGTTTGTTCTTTTATAACATGACTCCAGATTATATTGGCTGTAACCTAATCTTAACTGACTTTTGATATGAGCAAGAAATAAGTGGATGAAAGCAATATGATTTGTGGTAATGATTATATTCTGTAATAATAATTTGGACATCAGCTGCTGTATGGGATCATTGAAGGAAAAATTAAATTGACTGTATCAACAAGAGTCAAACTTAAAACCACTGTATGATATTTTATCCCCTTTTAATTATTTGTAATATTTATCCAGGAGTCAGATTCATGCATCTTATATAAACTGGTTGTTTAATCATAYTGATCAAAATCTTAAGACCAGTCAAAAAAGTGCAAGAATTTGCATTTTGCACTATTGGATCTTAAGAAGGTTCTAAGTAGAGCTTCACAATATTAAAAGAAGAAATCAGTGCAAGAGACAAGAACTTTTGAGCAGAGAATTTTCTGAAAACTGCATTTACACTCAAACATGATTTTTTCCAGCTGATCAAAAGTTTAAGAGACCATAGCTAAAAAATAAATAAAATCTGAAAACCCCCCAAAACAGAAATCAAAGTGTCAAAAAAAGGACTCAGTAATGAGTAGCTCCACCATTCTTG